CTATAACTTTTTAGCGTCAGATTGTCTGTCGCTGTAGTCGCTTTTAGCGTCAGACCGTCCATCGCTAATCTTGGTGTTGTGGTGTAGTGGGGGGTGCGGGTCGCCGACGGCGAGCTAGACGGTGGCACTCGGCCGGAAAAAACAGAGAGCTCACCGGAGTTCACGAATCCGACGATTTAGGCCACGGTTAGACTCGAGAGAAGTACGAGGAGCAAGAGGAGATAATCGCGAACTCACCAAAAGGCTTTCCGCAGAATAATCGTGAACTCACCAAAAGGCATTCCACGGATGGAGAAGGCGCGACGACGATGGCCGGCTCGAGATGGTTGACGGCGGCGCTTAGGGCTATGGCTGCTCGGCATCTCGGCGAAGGGGACTGCGGTGCTAGAGCTTGGATTGGGAGGCAAGGGCACGGGCCATCCGGTTTATATGAGGCAGGGACGGCTTGGGCGACACGGCATGGACGACGGCGTAGCGAAGCCGGACACGGCGGTGCGGTAGAGTCCGGCTAGGACTCGATCCGAAGGAAGAAGACGGCTGCCAGGTGGGCCAACGCGGTCAGCGAGAGGGAGGAGAGGAGATCACGCGGCGCGGCGCAGACCTGGGCCGGGGCGAAGCTGGGCCGTGCGGGAGGAGCGGGGCGCGGGAGATGGGCCAGCGCGGGGAAGCAAGGCCGCGCGGGAAGCGGGACACGCGGGACAGGAACGGGCCGCGAGCGGGAAAAGAGAGGCAGGCCGACTAGGCCGAAAACAGGGAAAGGAGGAAGAGAAATTCTTTTTTTTTTGCTTTTCTAATTTTTCCAAAGCAATTTCAAAATACAAATTCAAATCAATTTGAAATCCGACTTCAAACCAAGCAATACAAAATATTATGCAGCAACATGAATGCACATACATGGTTGTTGACCTATATTTGATTTTATTTTGATAAAAGTTATTATTTTCCTAAATTCAAATGCTCACAAAAATGCGTAATTAAGTCGTTTTCGCCTATTTCAAAATTATGCAAATTTTAGGGTATTACAGGCTGGGCCTAAAACTTTGACAATCACAGCAAAATATATTGGGCATAATATAGTGACTAATTAGAGCACCCAAACCTAATCGCCGATACAATTAAGGTAATCATCATTAACCAACACAACTTGGGTTCAAGGTTAGGCTGGGTGGCTCTGCCATATATCATATCTTAATCATGATTAACCCAATAGATCAATCAACTAGCATATAATGACATGAACACAATAAACTCAATTGATTGGCATTGATCTTAATTAGTCGTAGATGTCCATTGAGGCCGATGACAACCCTTGCCAGTTCAGTACAGGCGTGCAGCAACTCTCTGAAAGACTAATTGGTAATGGATCTTGAGCTCCTAGTCGGCACGACAATATAATGGTGGCTTGCGGTCTTCGACCCATTGCCTCACATATTCTTGATCGGTAGATTTGGTTGGCTAGGTGCATATTTGGTTAACTCAATCAACTAACTGACGTGAGGAAACTGAATCCCCTCTTATATAGCGGGAGTGAGCTGGAACCTGCCTACAACAGTATGGGTCAATTACCCCTAAGGACTCGTCCCTTTGACTAAGCCTAAATCAATTCTAACATATCTCTAGTTTTGCATGAGTTTTCTTATAAGACACATGATGACCCAAATTTTCTCCAAAAAAAATCCAAATTTGTTACTGCTTTGTGCGACTTTACGTAAGACACAGGATGACCCAAACTAGAGATCGGCTAGCTCAATTAATTGTATATTGCCAGTATTTTTTCTTTGAGTACTGTATATTCTAGTTAATTTGAAATATCAATTTTTTAAGTGATTGGTTAGCGCTATTACCAATACGATCTGCTTGGGGGGCATTTGCCACAGCATGGTAGTCAACTCCAGATGGCAAACAAATCTTAGCAATACTTCCATCGATCATGTCTCGAAGATCATAACATTAACCTATAGCTGCATTGGGGCTTTGCTGGGCGACCGAAGTGGTGACCCAATTTTGGTTTAGTTAGTGCCTTATTCACTTGTTGTACAAACATCACTGCTTTGTGCCTTCAAAGTACCTAAGCCCAAACATGTTACTGAGCTCCAATGGAAATTCCATTCTGAAGTGCAAACTTTGCCCCCTTGACCTCTAAAAGATGTTATGGAGACCTCCCATTTTACCTTTCCCAATGCATCCCATGCATATAGATACTACCATGCTAGTGGTTGTATTGTGTCTTTTCCACTAGTTTCGGTTATGTGCTGACTCATAGTTCATATATGCTACTGTAGACAAGGGTGCTACTGTTGAATATTGATAGGAATATATATTGGTGGGTGAATGCGAGCAATATATTTCCACCCTACTCCATACAACTTGGTGATGTACTTTAGCTCCGTTTATTGGCACCTATATATAAGAATGGCACACATCATGCACTACTTTTAGAGGACATATAAGTACTCCCTCCAATCACTTATATAATAAGTACCAGTTTGGTACATACACCTCCATCTCTGATTCTCCCCACCTCTAGCTCCTGATTCTGATTCTTTGGGGAAGTTATTTTTTCTGAAAAAATCGTTTGGCGAGCTAACTGAGAAGTGATTCTGGAAAGGGAAAGGTTATGATAGAATTGTTCACAGTATACTTGGATGTCCAAACGAATACTCCCTCCGTTTGTTTTACATGGCTTTGCCCTAAGTCAAACATTTCTATCTTTGACCATCAATTTTTAAAAATTGTATAGGTTAACAACATAAGATTTATGTTTTTAGATTCAATGTGAGAAATACTTTCATAATACATATATAGTTCACATGTTGTGAGAATATATATTTTTTTTGAAATTGATGGTGAAACATAGAAATGTTTGACTTAGGACAAACCTAATACAACATGTAAATTAAAAAAACAGAGGAAGTACGTAATCATTTGTTTGATACATTGAGGTGAATTCGTTTATAATAATATATAATGTAAAGTGCATACATTTTAATTAACAAGTAAGATTACAACACTATATGGTAGTAGAACAACATTACATTTCCAAGCTGAATCAAATTGGCTCCAATATATTACAAACAAGGATTATTTTAAAAAAAATAATATAACCTAAAAGATACAAAATTAGGTATTAAATTAAATAAATTGCACATTAGTAGTCTATTGTCTATGTGAGTCGTTGGGGCTATTGGTAGTTACGAGGTATCGTAGCTAAAAAATTGCCAACAAGTGCTCAGCTGCTCCATATTGGCTATTTGATTGCCAATAGGGTTGCGTTATAACATCGTACATGTATGCAAATAAAATATGGTGGTACATAGTGTAAACAAAACATGGTTGTTCATATTCATTATTGCTGGTTACAGAGAGTACCTCCCAATGCATAATTTCATTCCATAACATTAAATTGTTGTATGGTGTTGTAATTAAATGTGCCATATATGAACTATATGGCCAGTTACAGTTGCATAATTCAGTTGCATAAAATCCAGTTGCATAATTATTATTCAAATTAGAGTTTAAACCATGAAATTCTAGAAATAGTGACATGGTAACCACTGTTACTAACGCGTAGATCTCGTTGCTATGAATCTAATGCAACTTGAATGGATCAAAACGGAGCTAAAACGCACAAGATATAAAATAAACAAGATTTCATTTATTAAAATAATAGATTAAATCTAACCTTGAATTTTAAAAATTGAAATCTAACTGGCCACGTTGTTCATATGACACATTTAATTACGGCAATTTAACATTGTGTGAAATGAAATTATGTATTGAGAGGTACACTCAGAAAATGTGTCATATGAACAACGTGGCCAGTTATAGTACTAACAAAACTAAGTGCTAGAATACAAACACATGGGTCATGTTAGCGAATAAACATGGTAAACAAAAATAGTTTAATTTACTTCTATATTTGAAAGATATAAGATATAAAATGCATACGAGCAGTGAGTTCTCAGCGTAGGCTTGTTGTTGGATTTCCTTCACTAGGAAACAATGCCAATAACTAAGTTTTATTAGGACTAAACTTATTTAATCTATTTCTTCTCTTAACTGCCACATCATCACTTTTTATTCATGTGTCACCATAATTAATTAGTATAAAACCTCAGCTCGAGTGTCATTTTCTAGTGGTGCTAAGAAGAGAGAGAGAGAGAGAGAGAGAGAGAGAGAGAGAGAGAGAAATAAGATGTGTGCAATATACTGAAGCAAAACTTGGGTTCTATATTAAAACATGCTGCGAAGTTGACCATTGTTGCCAACAAAAGAGATCAGACAACAAGAGATGACTAGTGGGTTGGTGAGAGAAATTAAAGAGCATTGTTTATTTTATTAATTAGTTTGGTGGGTCCAGTTTGGTGTTGTTCATATTAGAGTGAAAAGGTTAGATTAAAAATCCTAACTGATCTATGAATCCAGAAACACAAATGTTATAGAAGAAAATACAAAAGCGAGAGCGACATCAAGACACGATGTGTATAAGGATCTATTTGGTTTCTCACCTAGAAATCATGCCTAGTTCAGGCATCGCTCACATGCTATGGTGCCATTAAAATTGGTGCTATATGCATGATTAGTACTCTATGCACTACAACAATCAAGTAAGGTAGGACAAGACTAGTTGGTGGGTTAGCTATGTGCTAATAGGAGGGGGCATCATAGTCCATACCTCCATACGAACGCTACCCATTCGTGAACAATCAGCCTTCCAGTGCCTGATTGGTCACTATTTTTATAATTTATTTTACAATTTTAACAACATCAACTTTTGTAATTTTTAATAGAAAATAATATTATTTCGAGAAAATGTTTTTCGAAGTTTTTTTTTTGAGACGCATGTTCCTCGAAGTCAAACAGATATTTTTCGCATCGAGAGAGCGCGTTGAGGCCCAGCCCGGAAGCTAGACGCTTGTGGGCCGGTTCTGCCTTATCTCCCTTCCCTCACACCTCCTCGTCCTCCCCAGTCCCCACGCACTTCTCTCGGCTGCTCGCTCATGGCGATCGAAGCCGCGCGCCTCTCCCCGTCCCTCGCCGCCGCCGCCTTCCTCGCCCGCCGGCCCCCTCCCGCCCTCTCTCCCTTCTCCCTTAGCCGCCGGTTTCCCCTCCTCCGCGTCCTCGCCAGCTCATCGGGCGGGGACGGACGCGTCGTCGCCCTCTCCTCGTCTGAGCTCCGCAAGCGCCGGGGCCTCTCCTCCTCCTCCGGGGCTGCGGCGGACTCCGCGTCTGACGGGGATGAGAAGCTCCGTTCGCTTCGTCGACTCTTCGCGCGGCCCGACGTTTCCATTGACGCTTACATCGTCCCCTCACAGGACGCCCACCAGGTCGGGCCGCCCTCTCCCTAGTCCCACCTTATATATGATTAATTTGATTTTGATATACCCAGATGAACAAAACTAATGGATAATTACTCATCATATTAGTGTAATTGTGGAAAAATGATTGAATTTAGGCACTACATGCATGGTAATCCCCACTTCTTGTAGAGAATTACTGCATTGTGTGTGACAAACGTGTTGCGATATGTCTCACTCTTAGCCCTGTCTTCTGAAGATGTACTTTGTGTAGCCCCGGGAGACTTACTGGATAGCAACTTTTGCTCTTCTGATGTTTGTGATCATTACTGCCTTGTGGAGTTTTGGGAAACTTGTAATGTTCCAAAGGGATGATAGGATAAGGAGAGGGGTCCGTGGGGTGTGGGACACAGAGGGTCAGAGGGGTGGGCATAAGGAAAGAGGCAGGGGCGGAGCTAGGATTTGAGCATAGGGGGCCGCCATTTAAGCTGACAACAATCATACATGATGAAATGTATGTAAGACAATAGGATAGATAATATCTCAATAAAAGTTTATTTTACGATATACATAAAAGCTAAAAACTTTGGTGACTATTACAAAGAAAAAGTGAACAAAATTTAATTAGCACTAGGTCTCTAACTTCAGAAAATATTGCGGTAATAATAGAAACAAAGGAAACAAGAAAGAGAACATAAAGACTAGTCCTAAATAATATAGATGCAGTTGGAGATACATGAAGAGAGAACAAACAAGCAAAACACTAACTATATTTGTTAACTACCTATTGAATTGTATCGTATAGGAAAAATAAAAGAAATAAAAAAGACAATAGAAAGACTAATCCTAGATTATTAGAAAAAAATAAACGATTAAAGTACTAATTAGCATTATTACCTTGCTAATTGAATGATTAACTAGCTAATTAAGGAAGGAGCACTGTGGAGGCACCGGCATGTTGGGGGGTGCCAGGCCCCCCTCAGCCCCTCCCTCCCTCCGCCACTGGACAGAGGAGTGGGCATAGGGAAGGAGAGAGGCGGTCATGAGCAGGTTGGTGAAAAAGGGGTTGTTGAGGCCAGGGCCCTTCGGAGTTGCTTGTCTGCTGTGATGTGTGGGAGTGATGTGGCAAATCTGAGATTGGCCTGACTGAGATTATAGATAGGTGTTATGGTTGCGAAGTATTTGTACAGTATGGGCAACTATCAGGATTACTTTTAATTTAAAATAAATATACTCTGATACTTCTCTGTAGTTTCCAACTGTGGTGGATGTACATGACGATACTGATGCACCCATTCTCTGAAGTACCTGCAAAACATAGTGGATTATTGACAAATCAGTAGAAGCACACAATAGTTGGTACATTTGATTTATAATTTCTAGCAAGGTGTGCTCTGAATCCTCTAATTATGTCATGATGTACTTTCATAAAAAAGCAGCATCTGCTTTACAGTGCAGCAGACAATCGTCTCATGTATAAGTCACAAACACATGCAAATAAAATTTGACACGTCCATTCCCCGAAGCCAGAGCATCAATGTCCACTGCTAGTGAAGTCATGAAGCATATATGGTTTCTTTATTCTGCTTTTAAACTCGCTTTGAGTTTAGCTAGAGGTTTAGAAAATCATGATACCTATGCTCAGTGTGAGTTTGTGACTGCATATGATACAGAGTTTTCCCATCTATGGTGAACTGTTGTCCTAATAATGGTGCCCAATGCAAATGATGTAGAAAATTTTTAATGCATTACTTAGTGAAGTGACAAAATTGAATTAAATATAATCTCCACTTACATGATTTTATTCACAACTGTTCCAGAGCGAATTCATTGCAGAATGCTTCACGAGGCGCGCCTATCTGACTGGGTTCACTGGCAGTGCTGGTACAGCTGTGGTCACAAAAAACAAGGCTGCCCTCTGGACTGATGGCCGTTATTTTCTTCAGGTACTCTCACTTGCTGCAAAATTTAATATCTTTCCACATTTATTTCAGTCATTGATTCATGATCAATTGTTCTGTTTGCTAGGCAGAGAAGGAATTGGGCCATCACTGGACACTCATGCGCAGTGGGAATCATGGCGTTCCAACTACTAGTGAGTGGTTGAATGATGTTTTACCATCTGGTTGCCGAGTTGGTATTGATCCGGTGATTTTTTCTTTAATATGTTATTCAAGAATTTATATATTTAATACTGGGTAGTGGGTTCAGTGATGCATTGCTTATACACTTTATTTGATGCCCATATTAAGTGTGTAGTTTGGGGTTTAAGTTCTTTCTTGGTGATGTCACCACACCACAACGTGATTTGTGAATGTCACAACTCACAAACGACGCTGCAATTAGGTGATAGTGATTAGCATAAATTTTATAAGACATGACGGGAACTGCAGTACATTCCCTTGGATCTGCTCCATCACAAACTGTCTACATTGAAATTCTTTATCTTATCTCTTATCTGCTTATTCCATTGAAATTTTAGGCATCATGATTCCATTACTTTTATTAGATTTTTGGATCTATTAAAATATAATTATCTTTTCAAGAAATAACAGTAATAAATAAGCCATCGATTAATTATTATTGATAAAGAAATCATGTAGATTTTTTTTTTTCAGGTAGAGATCTTTTTGCTTTTTACTCTATAGAATCTTACATTTTTTATCTAGAAGCTTGTTATATGTATGTTCCTCTTGGAAATGGTGTGATGATGGCAAATCAATCAAGAGTTATATTTTTTGTGATTTCAGTTTTTCACTTTTATTTTGTGTTTCCTTTTATTTATTATGTTTTTTTTTTCTGGAGATGTATGTTTATTGTATTCTCAGTCTAATCTTGTTTCCTTCATTTTTTCGAAGGATGCAGTTTCTTTTCTCATTTGATGCTGCTGAAGAACTGAAGGATTCAATCGCCAATAAGAATCATGAGTTAGTTTTGGTTCAGGGCATGAACCTAGTTGATGAGATATGGGGAGATGCAAGGCCAAATCCCCCAAAAGAACCAACTAGGGTGCATGACATCAAATATGCTGGTATTGATGTACCATCAAAGTTGTCCTTCATTAGGTCACAACTTGCTGAAAATGGGTGTGATGCTGTGGTAATTTCAATGCTTGATGAAGTTGCTTGGTTGTTGAACATGGTAAAATCTTGATTCTTTTACAATTTGTTTGATTGATATGTTTCTTATGAGTATTGTGGAATTGCTGTTGAAAACCATGCTGTGCTTTTCATTTTTTTTTTGTTCAATTTGTAAATCCATTTTGGTGTATTTGGGTCATACATGTGAACAATCCCTCAATCTCCACATGCTTTCAGTCAAAAGCATCATATATTTAAATGTTCTTAGCAAATATTACTGTCTTAGTTTTATTATTTCTTTTGTTCATAGCTGGTTTTTATAGTTAACATTTGCTGAGTTTCCAGTGAAATATTCTACTTGGGAGTTTGTTTTCTTTTGTTGATTATTATGCTATAATAACTGTTGAAAAGAATTTATCGTTCTTAATCAACTGCCATGCCTGAACTCAAAGCTCGAGTAGCGACTGCAAAGAAAGCATAGCAGCATTGTTCATGAATCTGATAGGTTCGTCTCACATTTAAATGCAGAGAGGAAGTGATGTCCCACATTCACCAGTATTTTATAGCTACCTCATTGTGGAGGTTAGCACTGCTACACTATTTGTAGATAGCAGCAAAGTTTCTAAAGATGTTCTGGAGCACCTTGAGCAAACTGGTGTAAAACTTAAGCCATATGAAGCAATTATTTCTGAAGTAGAAAGGTAAATCTTGCAAAAGCATTAATCTTTAAAAATTTTGTCTTGATTCAAATATCTTTTATGTTTCATTGTTGATGTAGTCCTTTGTTTCTATAGCAAGACAATCATCATGGTAAAAACAAAATATATTGATTTAATAGTCCCATTGAGCTCATGGTTCTTCCATCTTAAATTTAGTGAATTAGATTTCTTCTGGCCTCATCTGTACAAATGGTTCCCTGCCCTGGAGGTGCTGGAGTTTCTGTTCTTTTCTTGTAAATATATTTTTTGGTAAATAAATTGTGAGTCCAGGTTTACTAGTGAATTTTTCAGATCTATCTATCGACGTTAATATGTGTGTTATTCCATATGTATGTTTCCTTTTAATAAAATGATGTGCAGCCCTCCTGTGTATTTGAGGAAAAAGAATCAGATCTTGCAACAATTCAATAGGGAAAACATAATTTTTGTAATGGTGCTGCCGATTAAAACAAATTTCTTTACTTCAAAATTCAAAACTAACAGTCAATAATAATGTTGCTGCCGACTAAAACAATGATTGCTTTGTCAAGACTGGCAGAGAAAGGTGCAAAGCTCTGGTTGGATTCTTCAAGTGTGAATGCAGCCATAATTACTGCATTTAAATCAAGTTGCGACAGACGCTTGAAAAGGAAAGGAAAAGCAGGGAAAAAAGTTGGAGAGAAAGAAGCATCTTCAGACGACCCAATAACTGGAGATCCTGGTGTGCAGAATTTAGTCATAAGTGCTGTATACAATGTTTCACCAGTTGCACTTGCCAAGTCAGTTAAAAATGATGCAGAAATTGAGGGAATGAAGAATTCACACCTAAGGTATTGTATTGAAGGGCTTTTGAACCAGTGTTCTTTTCTCTTCTGAAAATTGCCTGAATAAATTTCAATTTTTTTTTAATTTCCTGAAGCTCTTCCAAGGAAAAGGTATGTAGGCCTCTATGGCAGCCCAGCAGGAATTTTACTACTAAATTAGTAAATTTTCTCTCAGTAATGAAACATATTGCATTAGCTATTAGACTGTTGGGAAAAACAGCAAAGTTTCGACATATCTTGATCTATTGATGAAGGGGAACTAGTCTGTATGTGATCTATTGGAATAATCACTGGTGGTTCTTGTCATTCTATTTACTGTATAGACTCTGCTTTTATTTGTGCATGGGAAACATTATTTTGTTATCATTTTGTGACTTTTGGAGTTGAAGTGTTCTTCAGGCATGTGGATATTGTTTAAAAGAATATCTCTGGTCACGTCCCTGTATCCAGCGTTACTTATCATGACTTATGTCCGCATTTTCGTGTTGTATTACTGCTTCCTTTACTTTCATTCAACTTGACAGCTATATTTCTTTGCTGGCGCATGGCATGTTTGTAGAGATGCTGTGGCTTTAGCAGAATTCTGGTGCTGGCTAGAGGAGGAAATCTGTAAAAGTGTGCCCCTTACAGAGGTACAAATTGCTGAAAAGCTTCTTGAGTTTCGTCAAAAGCAAGATGGATTTATAGAGACAAGCTTCGACACTATAAGTGGTATAATTTGTTTGTTTTGTACTTTAAGAAAATACTATTAAAATCGCATAGAAACTTTTTAGTTGGCTAATATCTTATGTTTTCATATATCAGTATAATGATAATTCTTTGTATTATGTTCAATACTTCTGGACTCATGTCTGGAGATATGCCCTTCAGACTATATTTTTCGTATCTTGAGCCACTTTATGACAGGATAGATGGTCCTGGTTTAGCTAGGATGTAATATCCTGTTTTCTTTAACGTTTCTTTTTTTTTGCCTATTTTGTAAATTTTTATCTGTATGAAGGCAATGGTAGTTTGAGGACTTTATCAAAATCATTGTATTTTTGTAATTTGTGTTAATGTTAATGTTTTATTATGATGCATACTTAGCTATGTTTTTAGGCTGAACGAGGGGATGAAAGCAGACATTTCATAGATTACATAACTGCAATTCTTCCCAAATTATGATGTGTACACTGTAGAGCTCTTGACTTCTAACTGATAGTCAATTTTCTCACACAGGTTATGGTGCAAATGGCGCTATAATACACTACAGACCAACCCCAGAGAGCTGCAGCTCTGTTGGAAGTGATAATCTGTTTTTGTTAGATAGTGGTGCTCAATACATTGATGGAACTACTGACATAACAAGAACAGTGCATTTTGGTGAGCCTTCCCCAAGGCAAAAGGAATGCTTCACCAGAGTTTTGCAGGTAATCAATTTGGTTATGATTTTGGGCATACATTTTAGTAACATTTAGTTTTGCAGCAACTTATATTCCTGCCTGATGGAAGCCATAAAATCTTGTGACAGGGCCACATAGCTCTAGATCAAGCAGTGTTCCCCGAGAGAACTCCAGGCTTTGTGCTAGATGTTCTGGCACGGTCATCTCTGTGGAAAATTGGACTGGATTATAGACATGGTAGTACCTTTTTTAACTACATAAAATAATTTGCTCTAAAGAGAAGGATTGGTTTGTCTTCCATTGAAGATATAATGTGCAATGCAAGTTCATTGTCAAGTTCGTTCTTGATCCAGGCACAGGCCATGGAGTTGGAGCTGCACTAAATGTCCACGAGGGCCCTCAGAGCATTAGCTATCGATATGGAAATTTGACAGCCTTACAGAAGGGCATGATTGTCAGCAACGAACCTGGTTATTATGAAGACAATTCATTTGGATCGAGGTGGAAATTTGACATTTGTGGTACGTGGGAGAAGGGCATGATTGTGGAAAAGCTGTTGTGGGCTAACCTGGTGTTTGGTTTATAAAATATACCTTTTATCTTTATCTTGAAACAACTATGGAAGAGTTTTTATTCCACCAATTTCAAAAGAGAAAGCCAAAAGCCAAAAGCCAAAAGCGAGGGTCAAACCAGCTTTCAAAAATAGATTTTTTTCCAAAAGCAGCCCCTTTGGTTGGGCTTTTTGTACCAACCAAACATGGGCTAAGAGTTGCAATTAGCCATTTTTGTTCCTAATTTTTTCATTGAATGCTGCAGAATTTACTTCTGGTAAAGGAGCTTAATCTGGCAAATTCGTTTGGTGGAATTTCATACCTTGGTTTTGAGAAACTAACTTTTGTTCCGATTCAGGTACATACGAATGTAATATTATCTTATTGATATGTTTCAATGGATGACACTTTGCACTAGTCACATATATCCAATTGATGTACTGCTAGATTGTTTCTGTTTGAGTTAATCAGTAAATGCGACTAGGGTGTAAGGTTTCAGTATTATATATGAATGATAGGTATCTTCAGCCCTTTTGTGGTGCTTACTATGTGACCATATGTTTGAGAAAGCCCCCTGCTGGTATCTCATTATTGTTTGTACTAAACACGTAATTCATGAAGTACTGATTATTTCATCATTTTTTTTTTTGCATCTTTAGAGCAAGCTTATTGAGTCATCCTTGCTGTCACCTTCGGAGATCAATTGGGTCAATGATTACCACGAAGAAGTCTGGGAAAAGGTGAGCTTCTACATCGTTGACCTTGAGGCACTGGTTTATTTATATACCAAAGATGACGCTGAGGGCATGGTTATTTTGCTTGACGAAACAATGGCTCCCTTCTTTATGTTTTTATGGGATCTTTCTGGTTTACAGTTTGTCAGTCATCATAAATTTTCTCTGAATGTGTTTATGCTTTGTGATCATCATAATATTGCCTTCCTAGTTCCTCCAGTAAGTTATCTCATCTTACTGAAATGAGTGGCCTCCTAAAGTTTCCACAATGTTTGCAGGTTTCCCCTTTGTTGAGTGGCCATTCTCGCGACTGGTTATGGAAGAACACTCGACCTCTTTTAGATGTATAACTCCTTAATACTCCATCGCACAGCACGGCTTGATCGCATAAGTGAAAGAAATGAATAGAAATTTCTGGCTGGAACTTCTCTAGAAGATCTGATGGCGTTTAATGGAATGCAACTATATGGCAGTAAACAGAGGCAAGGCAATAGATGCGTAGCTGGTCATATATATGGCCAGGGGTCAGGGAATGATAGGTTGAGGCTGTTTTATTTGACATCCAGCCAATTTGGTGCAACACTTAAAAAACGGATGACATGCAAAAATTTTCTATTTATTTATTATTACACTATACACAACATCGCCAATTGTTTGACGAACTTATTATTAATTGCATTTTAGTACTTTTTTTTACAAAAGCATCTTTTTAGAATGATGAAGCCATTTGAGACCATATTGCCCCTGAGAGCGTGTTTGGTAGAGCTTCAGCTATGATGAAAACAGCTTTAGCTATAGCTTTTGTGGTGAAGCTATTTTGAAAAAACCTTTTGGTAAAACTACTTCATCTCACTCTTAAAAAGAGTGAAATGTCCATAGCGCCTCTCTTTTTTTCTCTTTCTAATTTCTCTTTTTTTTCTATTCTCTTTCGGAAACGCTCAGCCACAGGCGTCTGTCCTGTTGGACGTGGCTCCCAGTCCTCTGCAGTGACTTGCCACTAAAAAAAATTCCCCATTTTGCTCATCCGCCTGTCGTGGCATCACTGAGCATTTCTAGGCTGCTCATCCGTCTGCCCCACTATGCTTCCTTCCCCCACTACGCCCCGCCACATGTCACAGCGTCGTGCCATGCCCTTCCCCCAACTGCGCTGCAGCCCATCATCGGATGCACCGTGCCCCATCCCCTACGAGCAGACAACGATGCAGCCATCATCGGATGAACTCAAGTGCCCCATCCCCACGAGCGCCACCAACGCAGATCGATTGCGCGCTTACGGTTACCGGCGGCGATGGACGGGTATTTCTACCGACGGGTAATTCTTACCCGACAATATACCCGAGTTCACACACCAAATATAATAGCTTCCAACCAAAACAAATAAACAATAGAGTCGCGAGTTGAGGATGAGGATTAGGGTTTGAGGGAGCGACATATGGCGCTATTGTTTATATGGGCTAAAATTGTAGAGGTTGGATATTATTTATGCGGTTTTTTTTCCAAGGGTATCGGGTGGTATGGGTAGTATACACCACACCCGCACTGCGCATACACGATGGGTACAAGAATTTCGCTGGGGCAAAATGTCTTCCATATGCGTTATCGGGTGCCGACCTCTTGAGCGAAGTAGCAAGCAATAGGCCATATGCGACAGTCGCGACGGCGAGCCCGGCCGCGACTAGGCGAGCTCTTCGGGCGAAGCTTCATGCGTTAATGCGAGCATCCATTCGCTGAACGACGAGCATCCATTCGTCCAACTAGCAAGGTGACGTTGTTTTGAAAGCACATGTTACAAGCGTATGTTTCAAGTTTTTCCTATGTTTCATCCGGATGTTGCAAGTGTTTCATATGGATATTGCAAAAATAGATCGAGATGTTGCACATGTTGTAAGTGTTTCAGAGGCATGTTGCAAACATCTGTTACCAATGTTTCAACTATTTCAGATGTATGTTTGAAGTATTTTATCTAGATGTTACATAAGTTTCTCACATATTGTCACACCCGATTTTAAGGATAAAATGGGATGCAAAATCTTATGTGTGTCTAGAGATCAGTCACACACATAAGCCGACAAATTATAAATAGTATCGTCACAAGTGTTTATTACATCACGAATAATAAGACATAGTCTTCACATAAATATAGCGGAAGTATAAAGAAAAATCTCTCGCGGAAGCTCTATGTCACAGGGACGTCAATTGGTTGACCACAAGTCTAGTAATCCTCAGGAAAGTTGTCATTACCATAGTCATCTGTTACCCATCCGGGATTTTTATCCAAGTAATAAAAATAAACAAGCGTAAGTACGTGTCGTACTCAACAAGTGTAACATAGGGTTCATGAGGCTCAAAAAGCTTGACACTTGTTTAACATCATTCAGCTTTTAATTGTCACAATTTTAGCACAAGAGCAGCAGCAAGTTGTTTCAATCCCAAAGTAAAACGCATGATCAATGTAAACATGACACTACTAGAAATGTGTTCATCAATGACGATTCACTCGTGACGATTACTAATTTCGTCACAGAATGAGAGCATTCTATGACGAAATGTGCAGGTTCGTCATTAGTCACAAGTGACGGAGCTTTGGCATGAAGAATAATGACGAAAACAAAATAATCGTCATACAATAACAAAACTAAATCGTTATTGATTGTTTGGCTCGTGTACCACCTCGAGGACATGGGTCCAGCTGGACCTGCAGCCTTCCCCCTCCAATTATTTTGCAAAAAAATAGCTCACTGAGTGAGCTTCGAACCCGCAACCTGCTGCTAGGTTGATAGGTGCCTTACCACTGGAGCACTCGGCCTTTTGTGATAAAAATATGCATATTTTTTTATTTGTAAACTCCATGGTAATTGAATCATAGATGATGACATGGGTGCCGTGGTCCCACCAGTGGTCCCACACCGAGGACGTGGCGGGCGGTCCCCCACCATCGGGTCCCACGTCGATGACATGGTGATGCGGTCCCACCGGTGGGCGTGGCGGCGAACACGCATGGCGGCTGGGCCTGTGGTCCAGGCTCCACCGGTGACCTGCCCCTTCCTTTTAATTTTTGCAAAAATAATCCCCGCAGGGGAATCGAACCCGCGACTGCCGCTAGATAGGAGGAGGCGTTATCATTTGGAACTCCCGACCTTTTGTGTTTATGGCTAGCCTGTTTTTGTATTTGTACTTAGAACATGATATCATGTTTTTTTTGTTTTGTCGATCGAGTTGATGGGCCATACGTGCGTGGCGGCTGGTCGGCGTAGACGCCCCCCACGTGCGTGCATAGGTATCGTGGCGCCATCATAGTTCTTCTCTGGGAGGCCGATCTGACCGATCTGGCGATCACGTGAGCCGTCGCTCGTCATTTGCCGATACCAATCTGGCGATCTCCATCTCCTTCTCCTGCGTCCACGCTTGACACGACACCGTCGTTGTCGACGCTGCGTGGGGAGAAGAAATGTGACGGCGAGTGGCGAGAGAGAGCAAGCGTGGAGCACGAGAAGAGGATTGCCGAGTACAAGGTTTGATTTGTTTATCAATTTGTTTTACATATATGCATGTCTTTGATGTGTTTTTGAAATTTTGTTGAATTTATTCTTTGGAATTTAAGGACCGAGTACAATGTACAGATGGATAGAAGCTGGATTTTTGGGACACAATTCACACTCGCATATGTGAAAGGAGTTGAAGAGTTCATGAAATTTGTCGATGAAAGATACCCGAAGACGACCACATACTTTGTCCGTGCAAAGAAATGTCTTAATCAAACTCTGCGGTCTCAGGATGATGTAAGTGACCATATACACATTTATGGGATGTCAGCTACATACACCAAGTGGATTCATCATGGGGAGTCGGCAGATACTTTAGTAGTTGAGAATTTGGAGCAGCCGGAGGTCGAAGGAAGTGATCATGACTTTGGGATACATGTGGATGTGGCCGATGATGATTATGATGAGGATCACACGAGTACCAAGAGATGATAGGAGATCAGATGTCTTTGCGGTAGAGGCTGATGGAGAACAACCAAGGTTTGCAAGAGTCCTTGAAGATGCAAAGAAGTCACTTAGCCCGGGATCTAGCCATTCGAAATTCTCTTTTCTGGTGAGGATGTTGTATATCAAGTCTCGTTATCGAATTGGCAATACAGGATTTTCCATAATGATGAAGCTATTGTCATCAGGATTCCCTCAGAGTGAGTTGCCAAAATCATATGATGAGGCCAAGAAATATCTTGGAGAATTGGGCCTTAGTTACGAAAACATCCATGTGTGCAAGAACAATTGTGTGTTGTTTCGGAAGAGGTATGAAAAAGAGAATGTGTGCCCAGTATGCAAGACGTCTAGATGGCAAGATGAAACTGGGAACAAGAAGGTTCCACACAAGGTATTGAGGCATTTTCCACTTTTGCCAAGGTTGAAAAAAGAATTTTTGCTTCAAAGCAAACTTATGAGGAAACACAATGGCACAAGAAAAAGAGGACGCCGATCGACAATGTAATGAGCCATCCGGTGATGGAGAAGCATGGAAGGACTTGACACGAGGGAACCATCCTTTGCGGATGATCCGAGGAACACGAGGCTTGCCTTAGCTACCGATGGATTCAATCCATTTGGCAACATGAGTCACGTTGAGACGGTATGTGGCGATGCTTTTTTGACACCACTGAATCTCCCACCATGGGAATGCGTGAATCCAGCAAACTGCTTTATGTCTTTACTCATCCCAGGTCCAAAATCTCCAGGAAAGGATTTTGATTTGTTCCTTGAGCCCCTAATTGAAGAACTGCTCGATCTATGGAAGGGTGTCAGTACCTACGATGCATGCACTGGTCGGAAGTTTAACCTTCGTGCTGCCCATGTTGTGGTGTATACATGATTTTCCAGCGTTGAGCACGTTATTAGGGCGAACAACAAAAGGGTATTATGCATGTATTCATTGTGATAAGGATCCGTTGTCTCGGGCAATAAGGAATAAGATATGTTACATTGGACATCGTCGTTACCTTCCAAGGACACATGCATGGTGGAGAAGCTTGGCTTTCGATGGTAAGCGTGAAAACAAAGAGCAACCATGCAAGTTCACTTTGGAGGAGGTCCTAGAGGAGCTAGAGAAGGTGAAAGATGTCAGGCCAGGGAAGCATCATGAAATTATTGGAAATAAAAGGAAGCGCAATGAGGGTCCAAAGATTTATAGCCGCAAAGTTGGGTTGTGGAGATTGCCACATTGGAAACATTTAAAGCTTCCACATAATCTTGATGTCATGCACATAGAGAAAAACATATGTGAAAACATTCTTGGCACATTACTCAATGTACAGGGCAAGACCAAGGACACAACCAATGCTAGGCTAGATTTG